CCGCTTCTCCCCCTAGTCTCCCCCCTCCCTCCTCCTCCTCCTCCTCCTCCTCCTCCTCCTCCTCCTCCTCCTCCTCCTCCTCCTCCTCCTTCTGCTCCTCCTCAGCCTCCTGCCTCCTGCCTTCTTCTCCTCCGTAGCCATTTAGGCCCCAAGGCAGGCAGCTGGCTGTGAAGTTACGCTGCTTCTTGCACTGCCCATGGTCGATTCTTGCCTTGCCGCCCTGCGAGGGTGGGACGTCCAAAGACTTTGACCAGCCCCCTCCCCCTCCCTGGGCAATTCAGGCCAGCCCTGGGCCGACCCTGCCGAATCTGGCGACGCCATTGCCGAGGCAGTACGGCCGAATCTTCAGGCGGCTGTGCCGCAGGGGGATTCGGCCGATACGTGGAGGGAGCTCGAGCGTTGCAGCAGAGGGGCCCTAATCCGACGAGCCCAGAATCGAGACAAATCCGTTCCAGAGCGTCCATTTAACGCTCTCAGAGCGTTCCGGAACGCAGAGAAACTTCCAGCGGCGCCCGAAACATCCTCCAAGCCCGCGGATTCTCAGAGGCTTTGATTTAGATCGGTCCGATGTTGTCTCGATTCTGTATTCGTCTTACCTACATAGGCCTTCTGGGGCCCCGGCCCAGCGTGGTCTGGCGGCATCTCACGGCGGGCCATCGGCCTTGCGGCCGCCGCGGCCAGCTCGGGGCCGTGCTGGCCTTCTGGACAGCGGGCTCGGAGACGTGCCGAGCCGTTCCGGGTCCCCTAAACTCAGGAGGGGGAGAGCACAGACAGACAGACAGACAGACAGACAGACTGACAGACAGACAGACAGACTGACAGACAGACAGACAGAGACAGAGACAGACAGACAGACAGACAGGCAGGCAGGCAGGCAGGCAGGCAGGCAGGCAGGCAGGCAGGCAGGCAGACAGACACAAAGAATCGCCGAGCCCCAGGAAGCACGGAAAGCATGGGGAGCGGAGGGGAAGCGAACATCCAGGAAGCATGGACACGCTGGTGAGCGGGTTCAGATTCTCCTGGACCTGGAGGAGGGTCCCTGATTACTGTTCGAACAAGGCCATGACAATTGCGTGGGTCTTCTAGGCGACACCAAAATAGGCGGGCACACGGTGCGGGCCGTACGGGCGTGGTGCGACGCAACATCGTAGGCGAGGATGTTTGGGATGTGGTCCTCAAGTACGATGGGAGCAACATAAGGCGAGCGCTGGCACAACCGTGGCTGCTGAAGCGGAGTCCCCGGAAATTGTTTCTTTCTTCCGGGAGCAGCCCGTTTATTATTTAGTGCGCTCAGTTTTTTATTCCAGGAATGTTTTTTTTTTTTCCGTCCGGGAAGGCAGAGTTTAGCAGTGACGGATTTGCCAGCCCTCGCCCAGCTTCCGAGTCGCTTCACTCTTTCTCGTAGCCGAGCCGAGCGAGAACCTTGGCGGCCGAAGTGTCACAGAGGCGCTTCTCAGGCGCGCGCGCGTCAGCGTGTTCAAGGTGGGCGGCTGGTGGCTTCGAGTTTTTGCTTCGTCGTGATGTTTGCCCGACGTGAACCCCCCTGAGGTCTGGACCCCCTCCCCGGGACCGCCTTTGCCTTCCGCGAGGGCCCTCCCAGAGGCCGAAGATAGCAAGGAGCCTCCCGTCGTGGAATTTTCGTCCTCGACGCAAGGGGGGTCTGGAAAGGGGCCCATGGAACAGTGGGTGGGCCACCCGAGTGTGGAGGCCTGACGGCCGGTGCCGCCGACCCAGAAGGACGACAACGACGACGACGACGACGACGACGACGACGACGACGACGACGACGACGACGACGACGACGACGACGACGACCATGACGACGCCCACGCCGACAACGACAACGACGAGCTGATGACCCTGCCACAGGCTCGGGACATGGGGCGGGCGGTGGAGGGAGGAGGAGGAGGAGGAGGAGGAGGAGGAGGAGGAGGAGGAGGAGGAGGAGGAGGAGGAGGAGGAGGAGGAGGAGAAAGAGGAGAAAGGGCCCCTGGAACAGTGGGTGGGTCACCCGACTAAGAGCCTGCTCAGGAGCGACTGCGGGAGGCCGAGGAGCGGCTGCAGGAGACCGAGGCCGAGCTCGAATCGGTGAGCGGGCGGGTCAACGCGGCGGAGGCCAAGGCGCAGGCTCTGGTGCAGGACTCGGTGAGCGTCGGTCAGCGGCCAGCGAGGGGGGCAGTTAGAAGGGAGAAGGCCTTCTCAGAAGGCTCGGAAGTCCTCGAGCCTCCTGAGAAGTTTTCGAAGCCTTCCCCGAAGAGAAAAAACACCTCTCAGAAGGCGCGAGGGCTTCCGAGAAGTCCCTCCGCCTTCTGAGAAGGCCTTCTCCTTCTCCTTTCCCCCCCTCGCTCGCCGCCAAGTCTGGGTCGGGGGGGTCGGGTGCAGACGCGACGCATCGGCGATGCGGCGCGATGCTCAGACCCCAGCTGCTCCGATCCCACCCGGGACAGGCTGCCAGACGAGGTGGCGGACGTAGAGGCTCAAGGAGGAGGAGGAGGAGGAGGAGGAGGAGGAGGAGGTTCGAGGAGGAGGAGGAGGAGGAGGAGGCTCGAGGAGGAGGAGGAGGAGGAGGAGGAGGAGGAGGGGGAGGAGGGGGAGGAGGAGGAGGAGGAAGAGTGCTTCCGCTGGCTCGTCTCGACGGGCGGCAAGCCGTCTAGCCCCGGGTGCCAAGGGGGGGAGGCGGGGCGGACAAGGGCACCCGGAGCTTCGAGGACGTGCTCCCTCTGTTCCCGGCGCCGCTCTGTTCCCTGCTGTTCTGCCCCCCGCCTTCGGCTGCCATCCTAGGGCGCACGAGCACGGCTGTTGCCGCGGAGTCAAGACACGTGTTGGCGCGATGGACGAGGGACGATGAAACAAAAAAACGTTCCGGGCGCTGCAGCTTTTTCGCACCAGGCGTTTCCGCCCCTTTTCGGGCCCCAGGGCTTTCACAGATCGATCCGCGTCGGAACACAACGCAGACAGATGGGCGCCCCGGCCACGATGTTGTTGCGATGGTGCATCTTAATCTTGTGTTTTTGTTGCAGCGTCGGACCTCGGGATTAGCGCAATCGGGGTTCAGCGCAAACGGGACTCAGCCAGAGCGCTGGATCCTGCAGGATCCTGCGTAGCCGGATTTTGGCCGAGCCGGGTTTGGGAGCCGCTCGCGGCCTTGGAGGTGGCCTTACATCTTGGCCGAACGGAGTTCGAGTACGGGGCCCCGAGGAAGGGGGCCCCGATCGGGACCGTTGAGATGGGTGCGGAGAGAACGTGGACGAAGACCAGCGGCAGTATCTGCCCGTTTTGGGTGGGGCTCGTCGTCGGTGTCGCGGGGGCCCGGTGAGCCACGCAGGGAAGCGGCTTCGATGGCGCCGGCATTGGCGCGTAAGCTGGCCGCGTAGGCTCGCGCGTGAGCGCCCTCGTCTCGTTTCCGATGCGGCGTGCCGCGCTGGCGGCCCGCGTAAGCCACCGCGCACGGTCGCTACGTCATCTCGCGTAAGACCCGTTTCTTGTGGAGGGTTTCTCCGAAGGGCTTAGGCGACCCGTCCTCCTCCTCCTCCTCCTCATCCTTCTCCTCCCTCCTCCCTCCACCTCCTCCTCCTCTTCCTCCTCTTCCTCCTCCTCCTCCTCCTCCTCCTCCTCCTCTTCCTCTTCTTACTCCTCCTCCTCCGCCTCCTCCTCCTCCTAGCCGTTCTGGCTCTGGCGGGTGCGGGCCCGCAGAGCTTCCGCAGACGCACTTCAGAGCGGCTCGTCTGCGGGGAGCCATGTCCGGGCTGTGAGCAGCTCGGGCGTTCGGCAAGGCGACGTGCCCAGCATGGGGCCTCTTTGCGGTTCTTCGTGCAAGGGGCGCGGTCATGGAGCTGCACGCCCACACGCTGGGCGAGATGCTGATCCGGGAGCTCATCAGGGCCAGCTTGGCGGACAGCGGGCACTACATCGGGGACGACCTGGGGGGTGGGTTCCCGATCGCCGATGTCGAGGAGGCAGGCGAGGGCATGGACGTGGCGCATGTGCAGGAGTGCGGCGTGCTCTCCCCCGTCCCCGCCTCCCGACGCTGATTCAATGGACCCTGGATGAGGTCAACGGCACCATCGAGGCGGACTCCGAGCGGGTCCAGGCGATGGTGGAGGACATGCTGGAGCCCGTGGGCGTGGTCGACATCGACGGATTAGGCTCCGATCGGGTCTCCGAGACGGAGGACGAGGTCAAGGTCACCATCGAGACGGATTCCGAGCGGGTCCAGGCGATGGTGGAGGACATGCTGGAGCCTGTGAGCGAGGTTGACTACGACGGCGTAGGCTTCGATCGGGACTCCGAGGTGGAGAAGGTCGGGACGGCGCTGAGGCTGATTGCAGGGGCCCTGGATGAGGTCGATGGCACCATCGAGGCGGACTCAGAGCGGTTCCAGGCGATGGTGGTGGATACGCTGGAGCCCTTGAGCGTAGTCGACAACGCCGGCGTAGGCTTCGATCCGGCCTCCGAGACGGAGCAGGTCGGGACGACGCTGACTGAAGGGACCCTTTGATGAGGTCAAGGACACCATCGAGGCGGACTCCACGCGGGTCCCGGCGATGATGGAGGACATGTTGGAGCCGGTGAGCGGGGTCGACAGTGGCTTGGATCGGGACTCCAAGACGGAGGAGGTCGGGACGACGCCGAGGCTGCCGACGGTGCCGCGCACCGCCGAGGTCGCTAAGCAGGAGGGCGCCGCGGAGAGCGAGGTGGATTTCGGCAAGCAGCAACGCTTTGGCTCCGCGATCGAGCCCAACCAGGAGGCCTACTCGCGGGTGGTCGCCGCGCGCGCCGCCCGCCTGGCCCAGTGGCGGCTCGCCGCCGATGTGTTGGTGGGCGAGGTGCTGGAGGCCCTTGTCGGGGTGGCGGAGGTGCAGGTCGAGGGCTGCTCCGAAGTGCCGTCCGCCACGGCCCAGGAGGTCCAGGGGCTCGATGAGGCGACGGTGGCGCTGATCGAGTTCCGCTACCAGAGGGCGAAGGCCATGGGGCTCGGTGGGGTGGACTGGGACAGCTTCGCGCCGTGCCTGGCCACGTGGAAGCTCCTGGCCGCAGCTCCATCCGAGGGCTGAGTGGGCGGCAACTACGCGTAGTTGCTGGGCTCGGCTCGATTAACTGGTTCTTTCTGGGGGCGGCCTGGGGGCGGCCTCGGTTCGGAGTGCGGCCCTGGTGGCTGCGTTCGGTTGCCCGTGGGTCTCCGTCCCCGCGGGGGTGGTGGGGCCTTGGCCACGGTCCTCCACTCCTGGGAGGTCCGTCGTTGCGGTGCACCTGTCTGGTGAGGCCCTCGGGCTCCTCGTCGCCACTCCCGCTCGCGAGCCGCAGCGTCGGCAGGTGGACTTCGCGAGCCGCAGCGTCGGCAGGTGGACTTCTGTCCGCCCAACCCCATACCCATACCTCCTCCTCCTCCTCCTCCTCCTCCTCCTCCTCCACAATTGCACAATATGAAAATACTCTCCCACTTCCCCTGATGGCGTCCCGAAGATATCCGACACCCCCCCGCGTACTGTTTTTTACACACAGGATTCCCGGGAAACGGGTTTTCGCTTGCGTTTATTGTTTGTTATATTTTATACACATACATACATACATACATACATACATACATACATACATGCATGCATGCATGCATGCATGCATGCATATATATATATATAGATATATATATATATATATAAGTTGCTCTCGCTGAGGCGCTGGCCTCATTTCTGCCCCCGAATCGTTCCGAATCGTGCTCCCGCTGCAGCGTGGGCCTCATTTTCGGATCGGTGTTTGGCCTCCGTCGTTCAGGATGGCGTTCTCGCCCCAGCGCGGGCCTCTTTCTCGCGCGCCCATCCGCCCGCCACCACCGCGCCGCACCACCACCACCACCACCACCACCACAACCACCACCACAACCACCACCACCACCACCACCACACCACCACCACCACCACCACCACCACCACCACCACCACCAGCACCACCACCACACCACAACACGCACACACGCACGCACGCACGCACGCACGCGCACCACCACCCACTACGCACGCGCGCGCGGAGCCACAGGTCCGCTACGACACGCGTCCGCGGATAGAGAAAATCAGCGCCATGGTAAGGGATGGGAGGGAGGGGTAGGACGTCAGATATGACGCGAGCGCACCTAGCTTGTCCCTCCTCCCCCTCCTCCTCCTCCTCCCCCCCCCTCCTCCTCCAACTCCTCCTCCTCCTCCTCCTCCTCCTCCTCCTCCTCCTCCTCCTCCTCCTCCTCCTCCTCGTCCATCTCCTCCTCCCCCTCCCCCTCTTCCACCTCCTCCTTCTCCCCTTCCTCCTCCCCTCCTCCTCTTCCTCCTCCTCCTCCTCCTCCTCTTCCTCCTCCTCCCCCGCCTCCTCCTCGTCCTCCTCTCCTCCTCGTCCTCGTCCTCCTCTCCTCCTCCTCCTCCTCCTCTCCTCCCCCTCCTCCTCCCTCCTCCTCCTCCTCCTCCTCCTCCTCCTCCTCCTCCTCCTCCGCCTCCTCCTACCCCTCCCCCTCCTTCTCCTCCTCCTCCTCCTCCTCCTCCTCCTCCTCCTCCTCTTTCTCCTTCTCCTCCTCCTCCTTCTCGGGTCGCCTACGGCCCGGAGGGGAACCGCGCAGCTTCTTGTGGTCGCCCAGGGGGTGGAGGCCTCGGGGTCAGGGGGGCCAGGTGGTCGAGGCCTCGGGGCCGGGGGCGGGCTCTCGGCGAGAGGCTGCTGGGCCAGGCGACGGGCCGACCGCGCCAAGGTTCAGGGCGCTCCAGGACGGGGCTCCCCGAGGCGCCGTGACTAGGGGCCAGGGGTGGGGGAGGCTGCCGGGCGACGAGGAGCAAGGGCGCCCTCGAGGGCGCGAAGTGAGATTCGCGCTTCACGCTCTGCGGTTCGGCTCTCATTTTTTTCCTCCTCTCCTCCGCCTCCTCTTCCTCCTCCTATTCCTCCTCCTCCTCCTCCTCCTCCTCCTCCTCCTCTTCCTCCTCTTCTCCTCCTCCTCCTCCTTTTCTCCTCCTCCTCCTCCTCCTCCTCCACCTCCTCCCCTCCTCCCCTCCTCCTCTCCTCCTCCTCCTCCTCCTCCTCCTCCTCCTCCTCCTCCTCCTCCTCCTCCTCCTCCTCCTTTCCCCTGGGGGCGTGGCGAAAGCGCGACGTGAGGCGCTTTGAAGAAATGACGACGACGAGCGACAAGCAGAGGGCTCTCTGGGCCAGCGGGGGCCCGACGAGGCCTCGGGCCAGGGTGCTCGCAGGGTGCCCAGGAGATCGAGAGGCATCGGGGCTAGAGACCCAGGGAAGGAGTGGCCCCTTGGCCAGGCGACGACGAGCGACGGCGACGACGACGACCACGAGAAGCCACGAGAAGAAATGACTCTGAGCTCTGGAGAATGAACCTTAAGTCGACCTGTCCCTCTACAGGGGGAATCTTCAAACATTGTCAAACCATAGTATGGGGACGATGGTCTATTGTTTGTAACAACTTTTGAAGCTGTGTTGAATGTTTGTTTTCCGTCGAAAATCGGCCATTCGGGGGACATGCGCGACCTAAACTTAACCCCGGTGGATGACCTCCAGTACGAGTCCTCGTCTCGCCAATCCTGCTCAGCTGGCTTGTCACCAGTCATCCGAGCGAGATGTTCACCCAGTCAATCCGTTCTCCCGTCGTCCTTCTCCGTCGCGGAACGCGTCGGTTCTGGCCAGAATTGGGGCCTCATCGGGTGTGGGGGAGCGCGCTGACCTTCTCGATCACCGACGGCGACGAGAAATCATGTCCACCCGCTCATACTTAATATTCACCACTCTGCAGGTGTGCGTGTGTGTATATATGTTTGCACAAATACGATACAAGCGCTGTTCGGATCTGCATGAGCATTGTATTGGTATGCAAGACACGCTTGCTCTCGTACAAACCTTCAGCACGAGATGCTTTCGCACGCATGCGAATCCAGAACAATAGCATGCACGTCCGGAGCATCATATTGGAGAGGCCTTCCGGCCGGTGCCGCCGCCGACCCTGAACGACGACGACGACGACGATGCTGACGTGGGTCAGAGTCCTCAGGGATGCTTATTGGGGTCTCTTCGGAGCGCTCTCGAGTGCCTCTGGGGGGTAATTCTGGGGCCTTTTGGAAGCCTTTTGGGGGCCTGTTGGGAGGCTGGGGGCCTCTTGGGGCTTCCCGGGCGCATCTTGGGGGTTCCTTGGGGGCGTCTTGGGGACTCCTTTGCGCTTTCTGGGAGCATCTCAGGCCGAGGGCTCGAAATGTCCGTTCGGGTCCCCCGTCTGGGAACTCTCTTGAAGCCGTATTGGGGGCCTCTTGGGCCGTCTTGGAGGCCTCTTGGGCCGTCTTGGGGCCCTCTTGGGTCGTTTTGGGGCCCTCTCGGAGGCCTCTTGGGTTATCTTGGGGCGATCTTGGGGGCCTCTTGGGCCGTCTTGAAGCGTCGGGAAGCCGAAAAAGGCGAGAACCTCAACATCTGTCAAAAACCTTAGCCATCATTTGTGCCTCTTGGGGCCCTCTCGGGAGTGCTATTGGAGGCCTCTTGGGGCGTCTTGGAAACCTCTTGGGCCGTCTGGAGGCTACTTTGGCGTCTTTGACCGATAGTTCGGTGATTCGGAGCCTTCTTGGACCGTCTTGGGGGCCTCGTGGGGCAGTCTTGGTTCGTCTTAGGGGGTTTGGGGGCCTGTTGGCGCCCGGGGGGGGGAGGGGCCTCTTGGCGCCCCCCCCCCGGGGTCTCCCCAGGGACCCCCCCCGGCACGGGGTGGCCGCACGGCTTTGGGACTTGAATCGTTCTGCGAGGATGTCTTCGGCAACTGGGACCTCCAAGGTCCCCAAACCGTGCGGTGACGGACCCTGCGGGAAGGGCCTCGGGGATCTCGAGGTGAGCACCCAGTCAGCCACCACACGGTTTTTGGAAGACCCCCTTGACCCAGTCCCTCGACGTTTTTTTTGTGTATGTGGATACATTCGTAAAACCGCGGCCCATTCACATTCCCATTCCCCGGGAGGTCTCGACACATTCCGTCAGGACCCCCTCCAGGGTCTCCACCCATTCCCTGGGGATCGTTCTGCGTTCTTTCACCCCGAGGCGTCTTTGTTGCCGGTCCCGGGCCCCGCGGGGGCCCGCGGAGGCCAAAGATGATGGAGCATGTCTCGTCGTGCTCTGTTCCTGGCTCCGTAGGGGTCTGGGAGGCCGGCCCCCTCCTCCTCCTCCTCCTCCTCCTCCTCCTCCTCCTCCTCCTCCTCCTCCTCCTCCTCCTCCTCCTCCTCCTCCTCCTCCTCCCCCTCTTTCTCCTCCTCCTCCTCCTCCTCCTCCTCCTCCTCCATCATCATCCTCCTCCTCCTTCTCCTCCCCCTCCTCCTCCTCTTTCTCCTCTCCTCCTCCTCCTCCTCCTCCTCCTCCTCCTCCTCCTCCTCCTCCTCCTCCTCCTCTCCGTCGTGCCCCTTGCCGAGGAGGTGGTCAACGCCCGCGCCGCCAAGGAGAGGCTGCTCGCAGAGCTGGACTCCCGCCGCCGCGGGGCTGGGGGCGCGGGCGCCGCGGCCGAACAGGCTGAGCGTCAGGCCGAGGACTCTGCGGGGGGGAAGCACAATTTTACCCGGGCGAAGGACGCGACCAGATGCAGTTGTGGGCATACCGCAATGGTGGATATCTCTTCTTCGGTGAAGCTCCCTATGGGGCCACGAAGCGGTGCACCGGGTGGGGGGGAGCGCACGCGGGCGATAGCACTGGGGCCGTCGGTGGAGCTCCCTATGGGGCCGAGCAGGCTAAGCATCAGGCCGAGGATCAGGAGGGGAAAAACCACAAGGACACAATCCATCGCCGACTCCCAGGCAGATGTGGGAAAACATACGGGAAGCCGGGGGGGAGACGAAGACCCGAGAAGACCACGAGAAACTAGGGCGAATCTGGGGATTGGTGTGAATGTGGTAGTGGGTCGTTGCGCCGCTGGGCCCCTCCCGTGGAGGAGCGCGTGTCCGCCCTGGAGGAGCAGCTGAAGGACGCTGCCTGGCGGGCGCGCCAGGCCGAGGCCGCCTCGGCCGAGCGGCTGGCCGGCCTCCAGGTGCAGCTGACCGGCCTCCGGGGCCACGCGGTGGAGAGCCTCGCTCGCGCGGAGGCGGCGGAGGACGGGGCCTCCGACCATTGGCTCCTTCCGCTTCTTCCGCTGCGATCCGATCCGGCTGGGACGGCTTCCGATTCCGATGCGATGCGACTTCGGATGCCGATGTCGATTCCGATGCTTCCAGGGGCCTCCAGGGAGGCGCAGACGCGCATCAAGGGGGCGTGGATCAGCGACGGGTCCTGTTTTCAGGGGAGGGCGCGGCTTTCCGCCGCCAAGCACGGCGGCGCCGGCCGCGTCTTGGGGGGGGGCCACCTCCCCCGATCCATGGATTTGGCGGCCGCGCGCCAGATCCATGGATCGCTAATCCATGTTTGCGCGCCCCCAACCAGACCAGGGCTCATTTCGATGCCTCCAGTTCGATTCGACTCGATGTCGATGGATTCCGGTTCCGATTCCGATTCGGCTTCGGATTCCGATGTCGATTCCGATTCCTCCAAATGGAGACCTACTAGCCTGCCGATTTCGGCTGGTTCGACTTCTCCCGACACGGCTGCCGATTTCCGCCGATCCGATTCATGTCGATCGCCGATCCGACTTTGCGATTCGATTCTGGGATCTCCTGCCAGACCCCCGCGAGTCCTGACAAAAGATCACGGTGGGTTTTTGTTTCACTACTCGGCTTGGGGGGCCCCACATCAGGCCGCGGGACCCTCAGAAACGGCTCGGGATGAAGAACCAGTCTCGGGGAATGTGGGTCGAGACTTCTGGGGTCGACGTTTGTGAAAAATCATGACGTCCGGGTTCTGGGGTCGGACAATGGGGGGGCGGATTGCGAGATGGGTGGTGAGGTGGGAAAGGGGTGGCCCCGAGATCCAGGCGTTTCATTCTTTCACACTGGGCGTTTTTACCAGTTTTCGCGCCTTGGGGCTATGTCCTAGTTCAGAGCGACACGGCCCCAAAAATGAGGCGGGAAGGTTGGCTCTAGGGCTCCGGTGGAGGATTTTCGCGAGGTTGCAGTTTTTCCACAACGTCGGATCTCAGTTGGGTGGCCTGGACAGGGGTTTGCGCATCTGCAGGGAGACGGCCGGCACAGGCACATTCGGGCGCCAACCGGCGCAGAGCGCCGTGAGGGCGAGCGACGCACGGATTGGCGTCGATGAACCGGGGCCGACTGCGTCGACACTCGTGTGCAAGCTCTCCGCGTCAGGTCGCGCGCAAAACACTCTGTCTTCCACGTGGCGTGTCGCGCTGACGGCCTCTGCGTAAGCCACCGCGCAGAGTTGCTAGTTACGCGCGCCCTCATGCGTAAGATCCCTTTCTTGTCGTCGCTCCCGTGGCATCCAGCCTGCGGGCACTCGTGGTGCTCTCCAGGCCCTGTCACGCCAAGCGTATCGAGGGGTGGGGGCGAGCTCCGCTGCGGGAGCCGGTCTCGTCGGCCCAGCCGCCCAGCGCGGAGCTGATGCGCCGACCCCCCCCCCTCGGTTCCCAGACCCCCTCGGGTCACGACAGCAGTCACGACGGGAGGTTTTCCGCCATCGTTAAGTCGGGCCTGTCCCTCTACAGGAGGAATTTTCAAAATTATCCCAGTGCGGCCCAGTACGCACGCGCACACACGTGTGCACACGCGCACACACGCGCACACACGCGCACACACGCGCACACACGCGCACACACGCACACACGCACACACGCACACGCACACGCGCACACGCGCACACACGCACACGCACACGCACACGCACACGCACACGCACACGCACACGCACACGCACACGCACACACGCACACACGCACACACGCACACACGCACCACGCACACACTGCACCACGCACACACGCACACAAGGGACGCACACACGCACACACGCACAACACGCACACACGCACACACGCACACACGCACACACATAAACTACGCACACCTCACACACGTCACACACGCACACACGCACACACGCACACACGCACACACACACACACGCACACACGCGCACACGCACACACGCACACACGCACACACGCACACACGGCACACGCGCACACGCACACACGCACACGCGCACACGCGCACACGCACGCGACACGCGCACACGCAGCACACGCGCACACGCAAGCACACAGCGCACACACACACGCGCACACGCGCACACGCGCACACGCGCACACGCGCACACGCGCACACGCTCACACGCGCACACGCGCACACGCGCACACGCGCACACGCGCACACGCGCACACGCGCACACGCGCACACACGCACACACGCGCACACGCGCACACGCGCAACACGCGCACACGCGCACACGCGCACACGCGCACACGCGCAACACGCGCAACACGCGCACACGCGCACACGCGCACACGCGCACACGCGCACACACGCACACACGCACACACGCGCACACGTGCGCACGTGCGCACGCGCGCACGCGCGCACACGCGCATACACGTACACACGCGTACACACGCGCGCACGCGCGCACGCGCGCACGCGCACACGCGCACACGCGCAAACGCGCACACGCGCACACGCGCACACGCGCACACGCGCACACGCGCACACGCTCACACGCGCACACGCGCACACGCACACACGCACACCCGCACACACGCGCCACACGCGCACAACGAATGCGCACCGCGCACACAACGCGCACAACGCGCACACGCGCACACGCGCACAACGCGCACACCGCACCGCGCACCACGCGCACAAGCGCACAAACGCGCACGACATTCGTCGCGCACACGCGCATACTCGCACACGCGCACACGCGCACACGCGCACACGCGCACGCACGCGCACATGCGCACACGCGCACACGCGCACACGCGCACGACGCGCACACGCGCACGACGCGACACACGCACGCACACGCGCACACGCGCACACGCGCACACGCGCACACGCGCACACGCGCACGCACACACGCGCGCACACGCGCACACGCGCACACGCGCACGCACACGCGCACACGCGCACACGCGCACACGCGCACACGCGCACGCACGCGCACACGCGCACACGCGCACACGCGCACACGCGCACACGCGCACACGCGCACACGCGCACACGCGCACACGCGCACACGCGCACACGCGCACTCACGCGCACACGCGCACACGCGCACGCACGCGCACACGCGCACGCACGCACGCGCGCACACGCGCACACGCGCACACGCGCACACGCGCACACGCACGCACACGCGCACGCGCACGCACGCGCACGCGCACACGCGCACGCGCACACGCGCACACACGCACACACGCACACACGCACACACGCACACACGCACACACGCACACACGCACACACGCACACACGCACACACGCACACACACAAGTACATATGTGAGTGCTCGCACGTGAATCATCTGTGGAGCTCGATCGCCGTCAAGCGTTTGCGCTTCTGTAGTCTTCTCTGGACTCATGCGAGGGCCCGCGTGGGCATGGATTTTGGCATCAAACTTGCTTACGAGATCGCGCGATCCCTCGGCATTGCTGCAATCGTCGGGAGCTGCCCCGCCGCTCCGCCGTGCCCCGCTTGCCCGCCCTGTCCAGTGCCAGCGTGCCCCGGTGCTCCCCCTCTGCCTGAGTGGACGTGCGCCGCGGGCGGGGCGGAGGCTGCCGCGGCCAACACGCGCCTGTGGGCGGTGGGCGGCTTGCTCACGAGCTCCAGTCTTCTGCTCGCGGCTGCCGGCTGCCTGTGGAATGGCGGCCGTTGGAGGTGGACCAGCGGGGGCCGCGCCTCCACTGGGGCCGCCACCTGGCCTGGCGGCGGTGGGAGCGGCGAATTCGACCTCGTGGGTCTTCGTCTGGTACGCGACGTCCGAGGTCATGTGGCACCAGCGCCTGCTCCTTGGAGTGCTGGGGTCATCGGCGACTAGATACATCGTGGTGACTCCCGACGCGCAGGTGCACGATGAGGAATTGGGGCCATCCAGCGAGGACATTGCGGGAGTGCGCTCCGCTTCGATACGGTGGCCCCCGTCTCCAGGCGTGACACGGAGGCTGTGCTGCCGTTTTGCAGCGGAGCCGACGGCGGCGCAGCTGGCCCGCTGGAGCGCGGAGGGGGCAGCTCACGCCGCGCGCCTCCGCACGACCATGGACGAGCTGCCTGCTGTCGCGCATGGGAGCGCCACGCCGCCCTCTCTGGTGGTGGCCCCTGTGCCCGCTGCTGCCGCTGCAGGGCCTGGCCTCGTGGGGCCCGCCGCGGGTGGCGGCCTGCCGGCAGGACCTGGGAGCTGGCTCGCGGCGGGGTCTCGAGCTGGGCTGCAGCGAGGCGATGTGGTCGCCCTCTCGCCGCAGGCCATCGTCCAGGGTACCCGCGCGATGCAGCCCCACGGAGCTCCCGCTGAGTGGATCCTGCTGGCATTCGTGTCGCCGGGCCAGGAGATCGAGTTCGCTGGTGCCGAGGCTGCTGGAGATGCTCGCCTGATGGAGGTGCACACGATCTGGGGCCAGAGGGTGAAGGTGCTGTTCCGAACGGCCGTCGAGGCCGTGAAGGAGGTCAACTTCACGGACTTTCCCGTCCCCGGCCCCCGCGCCGTGGCCTGGTGCCTTCGGTTTGTGAACCGACGCAGTGGCGGTGCGATAGACCATCATCGGTTCTGGGTGCACACCCAATCGCTGAAGTCTGACTTCTGGGGGGTCGGGGAGCACTACATGATCATGCAGGCGATTGACCTGGCCCTCACGTACGATGGCCTCGACATCGTGAACCTGGGGGCCTTTGAGATGCTCAGGAAGGCGCAGCTCATCGAGTGCAGCTACCCCGAGATGGGCGGCGGCGGCAAGACGGATGCCGACGGGTCGGAGGCCGATAAGAAGAACAAGAAGGGGAAGGGCCGCGGCAGCGGCCTGATGCGCGTGGGGCTCTACGACGAGTCCCAGATCTTCATGGGGGGTCACAGAGAGTTCGGGGGCATCATGGTGGCCCCCGAGATGCTCGACTGCGTGTCGAAGGAGGTGGAGCGCGATGCGAGCGTGCCCGAGCAGGTCCGCAAGGCCCGCGAGGGGCGGGCCGCGGCCCTCAAGTAGCCCTACGAGGAGACTGCCC